ACAATGTACAATGTAAATATTTAGAAATAAAAGCTTGTAAAAAAGGAAAGCGTTTCGTTTACTGAAGTCGTTAAACTTTTTGTAATTGTTGCAAAAGCTATATTTATACTAAAGAAAACAAAAGAATAACAATAGAAATTAAAAGCTTGTTGTGTGTAAATAAATGATTTATTATTGATTCTTCACTCTCACTATAACTACTGGCAACCTAAAAAATTGAAGTCTTAAAAAGAAGAAAAAAAGTAGAGTTCAAATATTGCAGAGTCACTCTCAATCAATTCTCCAAAGTTTCTAACATAATCCAATCATATTACTTCATCAGATAATAATATCGTTGTGAATCATCAAAGACAGCTTCTCCCCCTGTCCTACCCCCGAAGTACACACAGTACAATTAAGGCGTTACATTTAATCTATGGTATAATCCGCCATCGGCAGTCGTCGCGGAGGCGCTGTGTCTGTTGACACAACATCGCATCACAACTCATAACTCGTAACCAATCAGTTTACGTCTTATAAACATAATCCGACATATTTAAACCCTACTCTATACATAAAAACTTTCAGTATAAGTATTTTCTTTGGTAATTTCTGAAATATGTTTAAAAATCCCATAAAAAAGCATTGAAAACAATCATAGCACATTATCTTTTTAACGGCTTCATGCATATTAAAAGCAATGGTGAAGAAAGAACATTATTTGTCTGGTGTTATTTGAGTATAATAAAAGATTAATCAATTTAACATTTAAAAATACCATTCATACGAAAGCAGCGTATGAGAGAATGTGTCGGTGAATGCGTATTCACGATTCACGAGCGACAATGCGCCCCCGCACAAAGCCTTCACCCCCTCGCTACCCCCGCTATCCACAATTGTATGACGGGAAAGGGGAAAGTTTCACCCGCACATACATTTTGTATGTATTGTGTCGGCCGACTACATGTAAGGATTTCGTTAATTAAAATTTTCTTTTATCCTTCGTTTCTTTAGCACATATTACAAGGATCTCTTTTACTATAATTATTATGATTTACTTTCTATCAAAATAAGATCGTAATGTACCTAATAATCGCCGCTATTTATTAGGGAATCTAAAAAGAAAAGAAGACAAGTAAAATTTATTAATTCTACTCTAGTTAGGTTTATAATTTAGTGAACATCGAATATCGGTTAACTATAATTCGGTGCGTTTGTTTGTCTTAATTAACCGGTGTGATTAACGCGTTCAATTACAAACAATCCCTGGATATAATCTTTAATGTAATGTTGACTCAGCGAGCCGGGGGTGGGGGGCGAGGGGGTTAGGGGCGCGCGCCTGTTTCAGTTTGAATTAGCGAAAATTATACAATAAATATGTCTCAAATCACTGATTGATAATAATGTTTATTTTTAAAAAACAAGAATGAAGCACAGAAACGGATTTCATTTTAGATTCTACCAATAACATAAGTCGTCGTCAGTTGATATAATAAAATGTAACAGTATGACTATGTATGTACGCGTGTATGCGATGCGGGCTCTGTGTCCGCTTGTACTAGGAAAACAGAAAAAACTGTGAGCAGAATGTTTGTACTTTCTGCGAACGAAGTATCGCTAATTCAATGCCTATTGATTACCTACATACGCTAGCGCCTTTTTATGCCTGACTGTTGATCGTTTTTTAAACTTAGAAAAGAAATTAGTAAAACAACAATTAGGAAGAAATGATTGGACAAGATTCACTCTTTCTTCTTTACATAATCACCATATAGAAGGCAATCAGTCCACCTGCCATAGAAAATGTAATTCGAAATTCAATTTGTAGAAGATTAAAAAAAGATAAATAGCCGTCTTCATTCCACTTCGTCGTTCGTTCTTAACTGTGAAAGGGTGTACTGTGAAGTAGGTCGTCTATTGAAAAACTGCACAAAAAGCAAGTCGATTCATGCGATTGAAGCGACGACAGCACGCGTGGAGCCCGACGGAGCCCTACGGAGACCGAACAATAGCCTCGGCTCATTCAACAATTACCGCGAAATAAACAAAAACCTACTTAATACGACCGACTCCCATTCTGATGTCCCATTTCTATTGTTAATTTTGTATTATTTTCGACAGACCAGTTTAATTCATTTTTGTAGTCAAAGAATATTCGTTCTAAAGAACAATGTTATAATTATAGCAAAAAATGCAGCGCAAGTCTAGCTTTGGTAAAATCTATACAGGTTAGGTCTTAATTACAAATTCCTCTTTTTGCAGAGTTTTTGCTCAGCTCAGCATAATACCAGTTTAATGACTTGAATAAACGCAAGCTCTTTTCTTATTTCTTTCTACTAAAATAAGTTTATAAGACTAATGTTACAATTTTTGTGTTTACACATTGCATATGAAAATTTTAAGACCATGCTAGAAAATAATATGACTAAATTACTCATTTAATTATTGAATAAATAAATTAAAACTGATTATGAAAAAGTTATTTATTTACAAATGTAACCGTTAAAGAGGAAAGTTAATATTCGCTCTCTGCCGACATTTCAAACAATTGCGTTTATTTGAACAAAGTTGTGTACTAACCGGAGGCAAAGCAAAGCGAAGCAATAGCCAATTGTATAATAATACAGCTGTTTAATTGTGTCTGTTTATCCAGGCTTATCTGTAACTGAGCGGGCGCGGGCTTTTGTCCGGATTCGTGTGTGATCATTGTTTTGATACCAAATTGTTGTGTCCCCTCCCCTGTCGCCCCGGCTCTGTCGCGGCGTGATCCTCCAGATTACCGGCGCGAAGGCATCTGGACTTCAGTTACACTTCGTTAATTCCATTGTTATTGTCTCTACAGGACTATAACAAAGCTATCACATTACAATAAACGTGACTCTACAACCTATTGGAATTATTTAAGTTCTTAGATGATCTTAGATGATGAAGCATTTGTTTATGCAGGTATAGAATACACAAATTTTAATAAATGTTGATGTAGAGAATTCTACAGGAAGTGAGTTGGTATTTTTCCGTTTGCAGTACGTGTCCGGAAGAGGCGAGTCCCCACACCCAAACGCCCGCATTTACAGACATTTTTTTTTCCTACCAGCATAACCTTTGAGGGAAAATATTTCATCAATTTTTTATCATGGACATCAAGTTTTAGTTTACTAATTGAAAAATAAAGATCTTTTATGGATTTTAGTTGTACAGTATGCTTCTTTACAGTGCAATGCTATTCCTTTTTGGAGGCAAAGGATGTTTTCCATATTTTTTTGGTACAAAAACGCTTTCATTAATCTTACTAATGTTTTCAAAAGTTAGCTACATTCATATTCATACAATCATCAAAAGGAAGTCTTTTTCTTTCCGTTCGCAATTTATTTAATGAAAATTAATAAAAAGCAGAGTATTCTCAGAAAGCAGTTTATCCTACGGCGACAGAAAGTTTTACTTAAAAGCTTTATGTAAATGTGAATAATTCCCTTGCTTTTATATTCCAAATTCAAAAGTTTCCGATTTTTCTCTACAACTTATAATAAGATAAGTACCGGGCCCGGCTTAATTTTAACTTGCCAATACGAATACTAAATGTCTCTGAATAATTTGTGGAATAAATCAATGTTCATTAAATATCTGTTGATATCTTTTTTGTTACGAAGGGACTATTTAAAAGAAAAAAATACAATTTCAGTTCTGGTGTTTTTTGTAGTAAATTTCTACGCGTTCATCAACAAACAAAACCTTTGCAATTCATAATATCCAATACGGCTCGCGAATCATTTATCTAATTAAAACTTTTCGGTAAAAAATCTGCAAACGCTTAAATTAAAAGTTATAAAAAAATCTTTTGGATTTACATAAAGCTCTCAAAAGTTTAGTTTAATTGATTTAAACTTTTCTAACGAAAGACGGTGAAAGCTTCATTTATGCTTTTTCTTTTATCTTTCGCGACCTTTGAATTAATAAAAAGCCTTAAATGACATATGATAAATGCATAAATTATAATCAAAATTTAACTCTGAAGATTCATTTTATAATGTTGAATCCATTAAGTGTCAAATTCGCAAATTGTTGGTTATATAACCTAACCCTCCATAGACTTAATACGAACAGAATCCGAGCCGCTTTGGATGTGCTTACAGCAATAGCACGCCGTTACTTATTGTTTAATTTGGCGGCGGCAGTAGTTTGCGAGTTCAATTACAATTAATCCATATTTACAGTGTTCACTAAGCCGTGTTTACTCGATGAGCTCTGTTTACCGAGACGGGATTACTCCGTTCCCACGCTGTAATATCCGCAGACTAGCTCCGCCATAGATAATGAAATATTAATCATTTACCTCTCACCTCTTAACACACTTGTGGTGGATTTAATACTCTTATATTCTGTTAAGGAACTTTTATAACATTTAGTAAACATTTACAGACTACTTATGTCCAATCACTAGCAAAATATCGTTACTTCTCCCTTAAAAACTGATATTAGGTTTGATATTGCATTAATTACGTTTTTTATTTATTTTAAAGGGGGCTTTGTCGCGATTATAACGCCCCTTAAGTCTAAAACTAACAAAACGTAATTATCAGTTATACAACCAAAATCTTCTTTCCAACTCCACTTTACAGAAGTCAGCATTTGTAAAGTTTTAAAAAACCAAACAACCGAACTGAAGAGGACAAAAACCTGTTGCGCCGACCCTAAGGGAGTAGGATAAGGAGATGATGATGATGAACCGAACTGAAGAGGGAATTTAAACAGCTCTAGCTAGATTAGGTATCTATCTTACAAATCTTACTAATATTAGAAATGCGAAAGTTTATACGGATGGATAAATGTTTTTTAGAGGTTATGGTCTAAAAAGCTGAACGGATCTCGATGAAATTTTGCATACATGTAGAAGATAGTTTTTCAGAAAACGTAGGCTACTCACTTTTTTTTTAATTCCACGCGGATGGAATCGCGGGCGTAAGCTAGTTCCTTATAAATATGGGTTTAAGAAATTATGGGGTTCTATATAAATAAAACAACAATTTGAGGATACGCTTTATTTCATCTAAATCTACAGAAAACAGATTCAGATATTAAATGTATTCTTAAAGCTAGGTTCAAGCGCTTCAACTAAATTCGAAATAATTGTTTATCAAAAATCATATGGCACCAACATTTTAAAGTAAATTTAAGGAACTTAGTAAAATTAACATTGTGCTTATTTTATTAAAGTTGAATTAAATTCAACAACACAATACAAATATATAAATGCAAAACAATGGCACTTAAATGTACAGTCGGGGATACTGGCGGTGTTCCACATCAAAGTTACAATCTTTGGAACATTTTGAAATGGTACGCGTAACAAAACCCAATACAACGCAGCTTATAAATGTGTCTGTACGAAAAACGTCGGTTAGTGGCACGGCTAGTTTATTTTTTATTAATCCTTCTTTTGCACTCATTGCTAATTAGTCTGAACAAGGAAATTTTTCTTAAATGTAACACCGCGGTTTTCCGCGACTGTACGTTAGAAATATTAAATTTATTCGACAAGAATTTGAGATCAAATATTTTAACAGACATATAGATTTGTTAATCAGCTTTAAATCGACTCAAAAGTTCTGTATACTTGAATAGTTGAGTCATGGCTCAATACGATGTAGTATAACGTTTTGGTTCTAATATCATTTGTTAGAGAGACGGAAAAGACGTGATTCACAGCAGTAAAATCTACAGGTACAGATTGAGCTGAGTCGGCTAACTGATCTGCTACACAAACCGTGATCTGATCTGCAACTCTATTGAGTCGATTTACTCGTGACTAGACAAGTGACCTTGAACGTGACATCGATAATTTAGTTTAGATTAATTTATGTTAGAGAAGTCTACGCTAAATAGGCAATTTTACACAAAAGTTATCGATTTGGAATCATCTAAATATATTAATAAGAATATTTAATATTTATTCTCTAAATGTAATAGCCACTTCTGTGGACAAGAGCATTTGGAATGTGAAATTACTACAATTCGATAAACGAGTTCCGTTCAGATTATTCTAATTCATACCGATACATTTATTTTTAATATTAAATGGTTATTCTTTGGCAATTGTTATCTTTACAAATTTGAACTGTCTCATGTAATCGAAATCATTGAGATTTTTCTTTAGGAATAAGCGCAGGAGTGCGTTACTATAACGTTTGTCAACGTCAACGTCAACGTTGTAACGAGCTGTAACATTGAGTATAGAGGTGTGCGGTGCGCGCGGGGCGAGCTAGTTGTCTGTGGGGTGCGGGGCGGTGTGCGGGGCGGGGTGCGTGCGGCGGCGCTCGCGCTGCAGCAGCTGCGGCAGGTTGCGGATGTCGATCTCGTGCACGGCCTTGCCGGAGAAGTGCACGTACTGCGCCGCGCCCCGCCCCGCGCCCCGCTCGCCGCCCTCCGCCGCGCGCTTGCGCACTGCCGGACAACACGACCACCGGTTAATCCAACATGAGTAGCTATACAACACTAACTCTAAAAATTGTAAAGTGTAAACTTTAATATGGACAGAAGTAAGTGTAACGCGTAAAGTGTGAAGTGTAAAGCATACCTTGTCGGTCGCGGTCGGGCAGCAGGCGGTAGGTGGGGCGCGCGCGGCAGGCGGCGGGCAGGGCGAGGTCGGGCAGCGAGGCGGGCAGCGCGAGGTCGGGCAGGTCTGCACGCAGCTGCGAGCGCACTCGGGCGACGTCCGCAGCGCCGCCGCGCGCGATGCGGGCGATGAGCGCCTCCGGCTGCAGCACGCGCTCCAGGTCCAGATCCAGGATGAAGCAGCGCTCCTCGTCCACGATGCCTGGAGGACGAACGTACACACATATTACAAATTTAACAATAGTCCTCTTTGAGTTATCTTTATTATGTACTAGCTTTCACTCGCAAATGCGTCCGCGTGGAATTGAAGAAAACCAAAAGTGAGTGTAGGCTACTCACTTTTGTATTTTTTTTATTCTTCAGACTATGCTCTCAATCTATGCCAAATATCATCAAGGTCAGTTCAGCAGTTCAGGCTACGAACTCTAAAAAACATCAATCCATCTAAACTTTCGCATTTATGATATTAGTATGATTATGTACTAACTATTGCTCGCGACTTTATTCGCGTTAAAAATAAAAAGTAAAAAAAATGCAGTCTTTAAGTTTTTTTAAACTATTTAACGCACCAATGGTACGTTTTAGATGTATGTTAATTGGCCCACTTACTAGTCATATTATTGTTGAAGTCATGTATAAAGTTGACTAGGTGTCCGTTGTTAAAGACGGAGATCTTCTCCATCATGGCTTCGCTGTCGATATCGAACTGCTCGCGCAGCATCCCAGACAGGCGCTCGGCGCTGACGGCGTCGTCGGAGCTCACCTCGACCGGCTCCGGGGACCAGCTCACCAGCAAGAACGAGTTAGGCTCAATCAGGTACCTCTGATTCTATAATGACAGCAAACCATCATTAATAGCTTCATGTCTACATAGAGGGGCTCGAAGCCTCCCGAAGTTAGGGGTGACCGGGACTAAGTCAACCATGCTGGGCCTTTTAATGTTGGTTGACTTCACTCATATCTTTGAATTTCTTAGCTGATATGTGCAAATTGCCTCACAATGCTTTGCCACAAGAATATCAGCTTAATTATGTACTGATTATTAAAATGTTAATACTAGAACAATTATACTATGAATTTCAGTAAGAAATTGAATATTGCATTACCTTCATATCAGGGATGGTGCAGTAGCCCTGGTAGTGGCGGACGGAGGTGCTCTTGACATACTGGCGATAAATGAGAACGCTCATGGCCACAAACAGGAAGAGCAGCAAGGATATGTTCATCAGATGGAATAACATGGTGCAGCAGCGGCGCAACGGGCCGGGTACTTGGTGACATTGCGGCTCCGGGGTCTCCGATAGCGGCGGCAACTCTACTTTAGCCTTTACAAATATACAACAAATATAAAATAATGTCTAACATGTAATGTAATGTTTGATTTTATGGCATTTTCATTATTTTGTGAGCTACATATCTATCTATTTTAAATAACCGAACTAACTGCGATGTAGGTCACACGGACATTTTGTTTATCAAATAATGTTATTGATTTTTACCTGCACTTAATAAACCGCTTGACTTTGGAATTGAATATTTGTAAAGGACAAATATTATTGAGAACGTTCAAGCTTACTAAGCGTATGTTAATTCAACAATAGAAATCTAAATAATATTCAAATTACACATAAAATGAGTTTCGGTAAAATAAAAACATACTGCGCACTAATAAAACTTACGTCGGGGCATGCGACTTCTTCAACCAACGGCAATTTGGCAATTTCATTTTTATTCGGAAGTAAACAACCCTTTGCAAACACAGTCATGGTTATTATCTTTGTATTTTACTTGAAAAACTATTTCATTAACTCACGACAAACAACTTAATCAATATCATTTGAAATTGAAGCAGTGTTGCCAATAAAAAATTTAACCCGGCCGTGGACACTGTGTAAAAAAGCCGTGTTTGTATAGAAAAAGATAAAGGATGGACGGTGGCACTACTTATACCTAAATCGAAAAAAATAATCATTAGCTAAATGTCTCTATTCTAACTGCTATTTAAACATTACAGAAGTGAAAACAAAAAAAAAACTGAGTTTATTAAAAGAAAACAATAAATACTGTTGATTTTCGAAAAGGCATAAAATCTGCTACAGCCTTAGGGGCCGTAGACGCCGTAGACCGTGGATTTTCTAATTTGTTGGCCTGAAAATCACACGTACAAAGAATACGGCAATTGCCTTAGGCTTGGCAACACTAAGATGAAGGTTGAAAGGTTGAAACAGTGTTGTCAATTCCATTACTTTTCCGTTCCCATACAAGAAGAATACATTTAGTTTATGTTTAGTTTTGTGCGGTAATGGTCAAATATGAAATTAGACATAATTAGTTTTTGTTTGTAAGTTTCAGTCAAATAACTATTTTTTTAGTTTTATTTCATTATCTCTCTGTAACTATAGGATAATTAATTCTTAATGTTAGGAATCTGCCATAGGAAAGATGCCACCTCGTCAATTTCGGTTTCTGCAGGATTGAAATAAAAATTATTTACTTGTCTGTGGTTTAGAAAAAAGTAAAGAAAAGAGAATTCAAGGTGGACGGAAAACGGTTTTGTGTTGTAGAATATTCTGTAATAAGAGGTTAATGAATCATCAACGACTAGGGTGTGCTTAAAACATGTTCGATTAGTTTGTTACAATTTTGTTTTAAGTTGATTCTTTATTTTATTGTGTATTACGTGTGATCGTTAGTTCATCAAACTTAGGAGCACAATAAAATGGCGACCGACCCAATGAAAAACCGCATGCATGTCTTCAAGAACACAGGCAAAGATGTCGATGTAAGTAATTTCAATGTTATCACGAGTAATATGCAAATATGGTAATAAATGTCCATGTTAAACTTAATTGTCACATCGTTAATTTTAGGAAATGCGGAGGCGGAGGAATGAAGTGACAGTAGAACTACGAAAAAATAAAAGAGAGGAAACTCTCCAGAAACGTAGAAATGTCCCTATCAGTGATTCTACAGATGAAGACGAACTGGAACGACCTACAAATATTGAAGAATTAGTGATCAATGCGGCAAAAGCGGACAATATCGAGATACAACTGGCCGCGGTGCAACAATGTAGAAAGCTATTGTCCTCGGACAAGAATCCTCCGATCGACGAGCTCATCACAGCCGGCATTCTTCCCATCTTAGTTCAGTGCCTTTCCCGAGCGGATAATCCTACTCTTCAATTCGAGGCCGCTTGGGCTTTAACAAATATAGCCTCTGGCACCTCAGCACAGACCAACAAAGTTGTCCACGCGGGCGCCGTGCCCTTATTCTTACAATTACTCATGTCTCCACATGAAAATGTATGCGAGCAAGCAGTGTGGGCGTTAGGCAACATAATTGGAGATGGTCCAATGTTGAGGGACTTGGTTGTAGAGCTCGGAGTAGTCAAACCGCTGCTGAGTTTCATCAAGCCAAACATCCCTGTCTCATTTCTCCGTAATGTCACCTGGGTCATTGTAAACCTGTGCAGAAGTAAGGATCCGCCGCCTCCAGTTAAGACTATTCAGGAGATTCTTCCAGCCCTTAATGTGCTTATTACACATTCAGATATAAATGTAAGTAAAATCCTTTTTATAAAACACTTGTAAAAACCACATTAGCAATCATAATAGATTTAAACATACAAATGTATGTGTTTTTATATAACCGGACCAGTAAAAATAGTATTGTATCAAATGTCTTTATATTTCAAGTTTGAGAAATATGAACACATGTAATTCTTTGGTGAAAAAAAGTATAATAGCTCTGTACATACCAAGAATTTCTATCTGTTTAAATTGTAAAATCATTTGTTTATAAATATCTCTGAAGTGATAAATTACTACATTAACCTCATACAATAACAATATTTTGAAAGTTCTAAATGTGATTGCATTAGCTTTCATTATGACTCTGTTTAAATATCTATTAATGTTCTTAAGTTAGTATATTATTATAATTACATGTTAATTTTTTAAAAAAAAAAAGGTGGAAATATTAAGGTTTTTAAAATGACTGCCAACCCCATATGAGTGGCATAATGCCAAGAAAATGATTTACAGTAAATGTAGAACTTTATTCTAAGTGTGTCCGAGTAGAACAGTATTAAGTTAAGTAAGTAAGCACAGTTCTCATTTACAGCAATGTACCAAAAATAATAAATATCATAAAATTGTCTAATGTAAATCATATATTGCTGTAGCTCCAAGTTGAATTAATTTAATGTTTGTTACAGATTCTAGTAGACACAGTATGGGCAATTAGTTATCTAACAGATGGAGGCAATGAACAGATCCAAATGGTGATAGAATCGGGCATAGTGCCCAAACTGATCCCCCTCCTGTCCCACAAGGAGATGAAGGCCCAGACGGCAGCGCTCCGAGCTGTCGGCAACATTGTCACCGGAACTGATGAGCAGACACAAGTGGTACTCAACTGTGATGCCCTCTCACACTTCCCTGCACTCCTATCACACTCGGTAAGTTAAAGAAAATTATTATTTATAAAATATCTTATCTTTAAGTAACTTATGTAATCAACAACTGCACAGTGCAATGTTTAAAGAAATTTGATTTTGAAGGAAAAGAATTTTGTAAACTCTTTAATCGAATGTCATTTATGTTTTATTGTAACAGTATGCCAGTGTTGTCCAATTTGTTTTTAGTTTGTCAAATATTGCTATATCAAAAAGCTCAACATTTTAAAATTTCGTAAGAACTTATTGAACCCAACAACCACAAGAATATTCTAGATTTGTTATCTTGATATTGTTATCTTGCCCATAGACATATGTGTGTAACTTATATACAATATTTCTTACATATGTGTTTCATAGCCAAGCAAATCCACTTTCCCTTCCCAAAAATGGAAAGTGGACTACATCAAGTTCTCTAATTTATTCCAATTACTTCTACCTAGTCTGCTATGTGGTTGTATTAATGCACTGGTTGAGCTGGCACATGTCTGTCAGTGTTGTGTAGTATATGTGATGTTTGTTGCATTGTCAGAAAGAGAAGATCTGCAAGGAGGCGGTGTGGTTCCTGTCGAACGTGACGGCGGGCAACAAGCAGCAGGTGCAGGCGGTGATCGACGCGGGCCTGCTGCCCAAGATCGTGGAAAACCTGGGCAAGGGAGAGTTCCAGACGCAGAAGGAGGCGGCCTGGGCCGTCAGCAACCTCAGCATCAGCGGCACCAAGGAGCAGGTGGCGGCGCTCATCGGCTGCGGCGTCATCCCGCCCTTCTGCAACTTGCTCGCCTGCAAGGACACGCAAGTCATCAGCGTGAGTGTGCTCCACACTAACTTCACATTACTAGCATTTTAATTGGTACTCAGCTATTACTCAATTGTTGAGTATTCCCGCATACATCAAATACTTTCCGCCAAAGTCCTGTTGAAATTAGTCCAGCTGTTACAGAGATTATTCATAACAAACGAAACTCATGGACAGATAGGAATCCCAAAAGTTGAATTCTTGTTGAAAACCACCCAAATGTTTTATCGATATTATTTTTGTATGTATCTGTAAATTTGTTCTGAGTGTCTATAAACAATATATTGTCAAGTAGTAAACCAATGTATTACATTGATACACGCAATTTCATTGTATGTTAACATTTTGTATGTGTGTGTGAACGGTGTGTCAGGTGGTGCTGGACGGGCTGAGCAACATGCTGAAGATGTCGGGCGACAGCGTGGAGCACGTCGCCAACATGATCGAGGAGTGCGGCGGCATCGACAAGATCGAGCAGCTGCAGGGGCACGAGAAGATGGAGATCTACAAGATGGCCTACGACATCATCGAGCAGTACTTCGCCGGCGAGGTCAGTGCCGCTGCACTTATACAGGATAGCCTCTAATACACAAACACGTCGAAATCAGTCACTAATAGTACACAATAGTGCCAGTAGTGTATATTTGTGGTCACTTGCAACTAACTCAGTTTGTGTGGAATTTTAAAAAACTTAATTTGTATCCCGTGTTTTTCCAAATTATGTCCTATGTATATACCAAATTTCAGCGATATTCATTAGGCTGTTCAGGAGATATATCAATATAAGCGTAACTGCAGTTCAAATGCCATAGTAAAAGTAGCTTTGCATATGTTGTTTTATACAAAGTGGCAGTGGACTGCAGGCGCTAGGAAAACATTGAAAGTTCATTAGTGAGAATGATCTGATTGCGAGGTGTGTGTCGCAGGAGGAGGACGCGAGCCTGGCGCCGGCGGCGGCGGAGGCGGGCTTCCAGTTCGAGGCGGGGGCGGGGGCCGGGGCCGGGGCGGGGGCCGGCTTCCGCTTCTGAAGCTTGGCGCAGCGCCCGCCCTGAACTCTGATGTGATCTTTGGAAATTCTATTCTTTTTCACGATTGTGTTGATTTTATATATATCGTATGGATGACGACGACATTGTGAATAGCTTTAATGTAATGCGACGGCGGCTGATGTAATCCGCTTACAGATTGTACGGCTTTTTTTTAATATAACATAGTGGTTATGTTTTGACTTTTAACCTCTCACCCCCCGACCCTCCCCGCCGCAGCCGGGCCCGGACCCCGCGCCGGAGCTGTGTTGTGACCCCGGTTGTATCTATATAATGTAACAATAAAACTGTCCAATACGAACCAAGCATTTTATTTATCCTCCTAAGTATACAAATATGAAATGTGTGACGCAAATCTGAACATTAAACTTTGGGGCACAAAAAGGGCAGAATATCGTAGTCGTCTGCAACGGGAACTTGCCGTTTGTTGGCAGAATCGCTCGCTGCTTTCTGAAATACAACAATTTATGAAGATAACATATAATCTAAATTATTCAAACCAGCAAACGTAAATGCAGTCTCCTGTACTTAATCTTACTTGTTAAAATTAATAAATTAAGTTAATCTTCTTTTTGTTTCTCACCAAAATTGAATCACTTTATGGAAAGTCCTTGGCTTCTTAAAGACAGGAACCATATTAAGTCAAGTTAACACTAATTGTTGTTATTAACTTTAGTGTGCATTAAAGATGTTCTTATTCTTATTATACTGAATGTTATAACACGTACAGCTCTGTGTTCGCACGCGTAGCAGCGCGCGTTGCTGTAGGACAGCTGCGAGCTTTCAGAGGTGTGCGAGTCGCGCGCCGCACGCCGCACCGCCTGGTACCGACCCACCTTGTTCTGCAAACTGGTGTCCACAAAATTATGCAATAAAATTAACGCCAGCTATTTCTTTGGCTCGATAGCAACATTATTCGCAGTCATTCATTAATTTCGGTTTGGATGAAATAAAAAATAATAATTTTTGATTAAAACCTCGGTTGCATTCATCACAATGGAATGCAGAACAATGCGTGTTGCGTTAGGCGTGGTTAACACGGCCTGGGCATGGATTGTATGGATTCATTGGCGCCTGTTAGCACACAGTGCCGGTTAAATTCCAGTTCAGTTATTAAGGGCTAATTCCCGTTTTACATTTAGCCAGTTCAATTGGAGAGTTACGAGGGCTAATCATAGATTGTCTCACTAGTGACAGTTGCGTTCACACTGCCATATGATGGACAGTCCAGTTACTTAGTGCTACTGGCCAAGTGTGAGGCATGCATTACTTGGGTGGTGGGTTAAGCCAGCGGTTGTCGAGGCGCGTGGTGGCGACGACGGCGGCCAGTCGCTGCAGTAACGTGAAGTTGTCGCGCACGACGCGCGCCGCACGCTCCGCCTCGCAGCGCTCGCGGCGCAGCTTGCGCGCTACGTGCGGCCGCGCGCGCGGCGCACTGCTGTCTATCACCGGCAACGCGCACTTCACCTAACGCGCAAAGAATAACATTGATAAAGTACGCAGTCTTACTAAAAGGAGTATCATAAGATTTACATGATTGGTTACCAGATGGCCTCGCTATGGAAAGCACGTATTGTGCCCACACATACATGAGTGCCGGAGGCCTTAGGAAAGGATTTAAGTGTAGTTAGATTAGGCGGTGGTTGAGACAAATATAATATCTGTGCGTCCACCTCCTTTGTTGATTAAAGATAGGCAACGCATCTACAAATTCTGCAGTAGTTTCAATATTTTGTCGATTTTTAGTGGCCGTTTGCTCCCTTATAATATAAAAAAATTATGTTATGAACCGCGTCTCGTTTGATATCGAACCTATATAGAATGGCCCTGTAGCTATTTTTATCGTTATGTATGACAAGTGTTTTTTTACGATTAGACTAAAATAGTTTTCGTAAAGTAGTTTGTTTCATTTGTATTGTAAATACGACAGATTATGATATAGTTTTAAACATTACCTTTAATCGGTGGTCCTTGTAGCGGCGATCTTCCCACGGCTGGATCAACAGTTTATCTCTGCGAGACAACATTTCTCTTTCGTAGTCACACTTCGCGGTATCGCTCTGTTATTTGATCAATATAGGCATTGCTTCATGACATTGGCATAGCAACAGTGCGTATTACACTGAACGTAATTTCGATTTAACTTTAATAATGAACAATAAAATAAGCTTTTATTGTATTTATAGAGAGAAATTATTTTTTTATTGAAGCATCTAAGATGCTACCTGGTTTTCATGTATGAAACTTGCGGAAAAGGTGGTTGATAAAAAACACATTTAGCAAATTAATAAATAAATTATAATTGTTAAATATACTGCACTTACAACTGTATCAATATCATGCTCGTTACATACAGACAATATACACATGAAAACATTACAACACTCGGTTACAGTACAAAATACAAATCAAATACCATTTGAGCAATATAAAAATAAAAAATAAAACAAACACTACAGCTAGACTACTCCACTAGTGTACATCTGTTTAAATCTTGTTACATCACATTTAAATATAGCACGATACATATCGCCTGTGTATGTATGTACTATACAGACATGTGATTTGGAAATCAGTTACATATCGTGGGAATGTAAGTCTGCTTATGTTTTGGCAATGTTTGTATTCATAAAGCTATGCGATTGAACCGAGAATCGAACATAAATGCTTTGTACAAAATAATTGTATACAATTATTACAACCAAAGATCTAAATAGATAACCCTTTTTGAAACAAACACTTAAAACTAAAGTACTGTTCAATAATTTACTAGAATAATTCATACAAAAGAATATTACAGTAGAATCAAACAGAACAATGTATCACTGAGAAGCAAATGTCCGAATGCAATTTACATATAGGTAGGATTATCTACATATTTAGATCTTTGTATAATATTAAATTTCCGAGATGTACTGCACGTGTCATTAAATAATTTGTGCACTCCGCTGTTATGGCGATACAAAAATGTATACAATGCCCTAGGAAGACGTCCCTTTGGCTCGACAACGCCAAATCTTCAAACCTAACGCCTTACGTTATCGCAACTCAATACAGTATCAATCCGTGTCACTAAAAACATACTAAAACGTCCCTAATACACATGTAGTTACGATCGACTTTGCCTCGCATTTAATCTAGTTACAATATTGAGTATAAAACGTATTAAATACATCAAAAAGATCTAGCAAACGACCGGCCGCGTCGCTCCCAGTTGCCGGAGATCGCCGCCGGTTTCTAATTTATATCGATTGAAAACATCAAACGAGAACCGAGTCATATCACATGTGATTTATTATAAACATTCACAAGGATGTTTTTGCCTCGCATCTCGGAATTTATACAACAGTCGTAGTTGTAATGCGATAATTCCGATCAGGGAAAAACACCCTTAACGAACTATTATGCAGTGAACGCTACACTTAACGCTATGTTCCTCGTACAAATCTACACTTGGTGCATCAAATCTTATATCGCTCGTGTGTCGAAAACGAAAATGTTTATAGAAAAATAATTGTCCGATTTAATTTCAATACTTTACTATAGGAGTGTCATTTACAAAAGTCCGTATAAATCGTCATAAAAGGCTGGACACCCGCGGATACTGTAGAAGGCAAACACTTGAGACGGTTCCTTGTTAATGTGAAGCGCGAGAACAACGTAAACGTACTAAACACTATGCGTATGGCGTTATGTCGCACTATCTACAAACTAAATTTTTAAAAATAAAATACTGGGAACTTACGCGTCGCAATTTGTATTCATTTATTTTTATTAGGATTAATTCTATTCGTAAATATAATAACAAGAGCGATGTGTATAGCTGCCGTGGTTGTCGCAACACAACACAACACAACCCGAGGAGCCGGCCGCCGCGGACAAGCGAAGCGGTGTGATGCCGGCGCATTGACTAGCGGCCGTCACTCAGCGGAAACCGCCGCCGGGAGACTCGCCTACCACTGCTAGTTATACAGGCTGCTCTTTATTTAGGAAAAAATTGCGGAATTTACTCTTACTATTTTAACTTATTAATTTCAACACAGCATACGATGATCACAAAAAGATTACGAGATTAATTGCTTTCGTGTCATCATGTTAAATTGTCAAAGCATCCTGTATAAACTAGCGGCGTTCCGATCACGTATGGGATAGCTAATTCGTTGTTTAAACACTACAATTCGATACAAATGAAGTCGTACTTCCATCCCTCCAAACCTCCACTCCTCCACTCTACAACACTCTCTCTCTCGTTGTCTCCACTCCGCGGTTTTCCCTGAAATGACTTAGATATAAAGTTAGCGCAACATCACAACGTACCTATACAACTTGTACCTCGCGCACCAGCTGCCACCAAGTGGTACACTATACAGGCCGTAGGTACTCGATCGATTCATCTTCCATCTACACCGATCGTCTAAATGTGATTTAAACTATATAAAAAATCTTTTTTTTTTATCAATTACACTACATTACTTATAAGTGACTTAAGAAATAACATGATATAGAAATGGCTCTTACACTTTAACTATAGTATTGAATGCGATAAGAAGCCAATATTTGGTTTATTACATAGATAGCGGCGCGCGCACGGCCGCCCGCCGCCCGCCGCCCGCCGCCCGCCCGGAGTAAGAATGCCCAAAATTTACGCAATAACTGTCTAAACAGTGGGTACATTATTTATCATAATTGTGATTATACAGCATGTTTTCAAATTCCTCAGAATTAGAGACAAAAATTTATCTAATAAATTTTATTTCAGTGAATCGGTAAATACATCCCTTGCCCTTTCAGTTCGACCACCCCTGCACCGAATTAAGTGCGTTTCATACAAGAATCGAGTTTTATTACCATTTTAAGATTAAATTTAGCTACAGACATTTTCAATATCTCGTTTTTACTAATATATTGACTAAAATTTTTCAAAGAGACTATAATATGATAGTTGATGTTTGGGAAATGACTTCCTCATAGAAGCGGCCATTTAAGATTGTCATTTACCATGTCATTATAGTTTTAAGCAATTAAAATTGACAATAACACGATTTATTACTACATTTGATCCATGCCCAAAGTTAGAAGACTAAATAATAGTCCCATTACAATATAAAAAGTTATACCAATACACGCCGAATAAGATTGTTAGGCCTTTATTTTTTTTATTTCTGTCAACCAACATTATAGTTAGTAAAAATAATAAATGTAATATTTAACCAAACAATGGCTTAATCAAATACCAATGTATCAAATAAATTTTGCAATGAAAAATGTTAGATTTGAACAATTAATGTTAGCTTTAGTTCTAGTTGACATTTAAATTATTGCATTAACCATCTTATTACATAATCATGGACTTATATACTTCACCAATGTGCCACTTAAAATATACTTACAAGCGATAATCATACACAGAGACAATCAAAGACAATTTTGTTGGTTATTTCTTAGTTATAAAACTAAATACAATTATTTCCTAACATTAATCAGACTGTTAATAGCTGAAACATGCGTACTGAGTATAGTGTTACATTTGGTTTAATATATTCAGTAAGTGACAATGTCGCTTCATATTACCTCTAATGGAAGATTGCACATTTACTTTATCGTCAAATTAATGTATAAATGTCCAATAAAGGAAAGTATTACAAAAATAAATCGAAATCTCAAAAAATCCATAAAAACCAGTTACTACAAAACGAAAGGTTTATAAAATGGTTGCCGTTTAGTGCTGTCAAAATGACAACTGTCATATTACATTGCCGAATGCATAGATAAAATGCATGTATGATGATGTAATGTATTTGAGGGTAGTGTTGTGTGGGGTGTGTGGGGTGTGTGGGGTGTGTGGGGTGTGTGGGGTGTGCGGGTGTGGGGGGGCTCAGCACTGCGGCGCGGGGCGCGGCAGGGGGCGCACGAGGTACAGCTTCTCGCCCTGCTTGTTGGTGTAGATGGGCGCGCGCTGGTAGTGCGCCACCAGCTGGTCCAGCGTGGGGAACTTGCGCTGCCCGATGCAGTACAGGCTGCCCTCCACGTGCACGCGGAAGTGCTTGTTGCGCCCCGGCGCCTTCAGCGACACCGAGTAGTCGCCCACCTGCGGCGCGAGCACACGACACATTACAACACCGCTCCCGCATCGCTGCGGCAGACACAGAGTTAGAACACTCACGTTGGTCTCCGAGTCGCGTATGAGGAAGTCCCCGTCGTGTCCGTGCTGGTCCAGCAGCGTGTCGCAGTGCATGCGCGTGATGGCGCCGTAGTACCAGGCGCGGCCCAGCGGGGCGGGGCCCGCGCCGCCGCTCGCGCCGCCCGCGCCCGCGCCCCGTCCGCCCTCGTTGGCCTCGCTGCAACCAGACGCACAGTCAGAGGGGCCAGGACGGCGTGTGGGGGGTACCGAAGGTACCGACCAGTAGGGCTGCGTGAGGTAGTCGGCGAGCTCCTGCAGGTAGTTGCGCGGCACGAGGCCGAGCTGGCCGCGCGAGTCGCGCGCGCGGTACCACTCGGGGTCGGAGGGCGGCCGCTCCACGATCTCCAGCCGGTCGCCCTTCTCGAAAGACAGCTCCGCCTCGTTGTTGGACGTGAAGGAGTACAGCGCCACCTGCACGCGTCACATCTTACACATTAAACAACATTCACTTAGCTAAATGAGATAGTACTCCGTAACCACCAGTAGATACTGACCACAATATCGAGGACGTTTTCCGCCATCGCGTACGTATGCACCGGGTCTTCATTATCCCCTTCTTCACTTGTGTAGTTCGATGGAAACCTAGAATCCGACAATAGAAAACATTAACAAAGAAGAAGGATTAGAAAGTAGGCAAGGACGTCATATGCATGTAGTGCAGCGAGTACCGACCAGCCCGTGTGCCCCTGGTACTGTCCTCGCCACCAGCCGTCGTTGCTCTTCTCCAGGATGAGTATCCTGGTGCCCTTGGTGAGCGAGAGCTCGTCGGGCTGCTGCGCCTGGTAGTTGTACTTGACGACGGCGGTGCCGAGCGCGTCCGCGGGCTCCGCGCGCCGCCCGCCCGGCCCCGCGCCGCCGCCGCCCGGGGACTCCGGCCCGCCCCGCACCGGGGAACTGTTCGACGGTAATGTCTTCGAGCCCGAACCCTTTTTCACCTTCTTTTTTATACTGGAAATGTGTTACATAAATATGAATTTTACATTTGTCTCTTACCTCAGTGTAAATTATTTACATAATAATGTTAGCTAATGTTTGCAAACAAACTAATAATATAATAATGATATCTGCAATTTTGTTGTATTAGCATGTCAGCCGCGCATAACAAATGCAGCCAAGGAGACGTTATCGTGCGAGACCAATGCGCGTCGCAAACATCGCTGTGGGCTGTGGGCTGGCTGAGCATTGAGATAAACTTGTATGGGAGAAGACACATTAATAATTATAAAGAAGCTGTCAAACTAAAACATGATGTACAACATGATCTAAAACACATATAGAACTCGGATTGTGATACAACATTTATACAAACAACGTGTGAAAATCTCACATATTTAAACTATACTTACAATTAACACTGAGGGTGTGTCCGATATAAGGTTACATGCCCTTTGAAACTTGAACCCCATTCCCGGCCCTTAATTAATTGCAGCCGGCGACTAATAACAAATTGTTTCATAAAGCAGCGATATAGCAATATGGCACGTTTTCAATAACACATTAAGCCAGATTTAATACATCAGAACTTGTATTCACATCACTGGTACCAAAGATTTCGAAAATTATAACATTTACTTAATATAGTGCGCACAATCAAGACGCCTAAAGCATTAAGAAGGTACATCGTAAATCGGACCTAATAAATAAAGGATCAACGTAGATGCCATAAGAGATGACCCTTTATTTCGGGGTTGTGTAAATCTGGCATTGCTTTGCTAAGACGAGATGTAGTATGCTCGCTCACCTGTCGAATAGCGAGGGTTTCTCCTTCTTCACGTAATTGCTGGGCACATATCCTGACTGGCTGCGGGCGTTCTGCACACGCCACCAGTGCTTCGAATCGTCGAGCAGAAGGTAGCGCTCATTCTTGCGCAAGTCCAGCTCCTGCGCCCCCTGCGCCGCATAGTCGTACTTCGCCACCACGTAGCACACATCGTCCTGCAATATAACGCAAGGACATCTATACATATGACTATATGCAAAAACAAATAATCAAGTACCAAAAACTTTAAAAACAATTACCACGTTAAAAAAAGTATAAATTAGTGCTATTAAGTTCTACGACCTCGCCAATAGTACGGTATATAAATCCAAGAAATGATAACGCTACGTATTTTGAACGTGGTTTTCATATTCGAAGGCTAACTGCTCACCCACACGGCTGCAGAACCAGATTAACTATGGAACTCTGAACAAAGTTTTAACTAGCTGCTATTAGTGCTGGAAGCCGTAATATCAAGCTATATTGAGCAGTTGATTTATAATAGTCTTTATTTTCTATAATTATAGTTTTCTTGCACTGCGAGCAGCGCAAATGCAGAAGGTCGCGGGAGACATCGCGCGGCAGTAGGAAGGTCAATCGTCCCAAATTAATCTATTACGGTGGCCGTCTCGACCGACACACAGCACTGCCGCTTGAACTCATATCTTAAACAATTTGTACGTTTTTCTAGCTAAAGCTAGAGACAACACATACAATATTAAGATCGTATGGTGAAATTTCATCCTTAGTGAAGCTAAATAATTGGTAGAAGTAACTTAGCATTGTCACCTAAAGTAAGCAATCATGGATAATGGATAGGATTATAAGCTAACTGGGGCAGTGTTACAAGCGCCTTGTCTCTGTGGTAAACATTAGGTGCGGTACAATACAATTCGATAATTTTTCTTATAAATAACATCAAAGACAGAGTTGAAACTCGAAATTTAGAAAGCGATTTCTTCATCCTTATGTTATTCGAAGACGCAATTTAATTAATAAACCGGTAGTGATATTAATCTCTAACATATTCAAGATTGCTAAAAATATTTTAAGCTTCATTACCATCTGAATAAAATGAAATTAAGCAAAGTCATGAAGCAAACTATTTAAAAACGAAATAATGAAGCATAAAGTTCAAATTTGGCGGTGCTGACGTAGTCATAGTTCCCGCAACATCATAGGCCAGTTAAAAAATAGCCACATCCGGCGTCGTGCAGTCGACGTCGACTCGGACCCACCAGGAAACTACAATTAACATTATACGAGCGCTTATAAAATATTTCACACGTTCAATGGTCTGGCGGAGATCCAGAAGAAATTATGAAAATAATCGTGTCTAGAAGTTTCAATCACTTAATACTACTTTGTTGGTTATATACTTCAAAAATTTTTGCTTTTGATGCTGTAGGTAATTTTATTAGGCACTTTTATAGGCCATTTGGTATAAACTTTTTAATAAAAAAACAAAACCGACTTCCAAACAAAATACACGAAAAACAAAACAAAATGCACTAAAAACAAAACAAAATACAC